GCTCCTTTGATCAAATGTATTTGAAAGTGGATTCGTTTTTTCTTTTTAAATTTTTAAACCCTAGTCTGGTATATTTTTCTTATTTTTTCTTTTTTTATTGTTATTCTCTTACAGTTGTTTCAAATTTTCCCCCTTTTCCCTCCTCTACCTAACCCACCGCCCCCACCCCCCATCATCCATCACCACACCATTGTCTGTGTCCATGGGTCATCCATACATGTTCTTTGGCTAGTCCCTTCCCCTTCTTTCCACTATTGTCTCCTCTCCCCTGTGGCCACTCTCAGTCTGTTCCACATTTCCATGTCTCTGGTTCAATTTTGCTCCTTAGTTTATTTTATTCATCAGATTGTTCTTGTAAGTGAGGTCATATGGTACTTGTCTTTCACTGACTGGCTTATTTCACTTACCATAATCTCCAGTTCCATCCATGCTGTTGCAAAAGGTAGAAGCTCCTTCTTTCTTTCTGCTACATAGTATTCTACTGTGTAAATGTACCAGGTATTTTGATCCTGGCACATATAGCTGGATGGGCACTTTGGCTGTTTCCAACACTTAGCTACTGTATATAGTGCTTCTATGAACGTAGATGTACATAAGTTCTTTTGAATTGGTGTCTCGGAATTCTTAGGATATATTACCAGCAGTGGAATCACTTGGTCATAAGGCACTTCCATTTTTAATTTTTTGTTTTTTGAGGAAATTCTGTACTGTTTTCCACAGTGGTTGCGCCAGTCTGCATTCCCACCAACAGTGTACTAGGGTTCCTTTTTCTCCACATCCTTGCCAGAGTTCATTTATTAATGATGGTCATTCTAATAGGTGTGCAGTAATATCTCATTGTGGTTTTAATTTGCATCTCTCTGATGGCTAGTGATGTTGAGCATCTTTTCATATGTCAACTATATGTCCTTCTTGGAGAAGTTTTTACTCAGGTTCTTTGCCCATTTTTTAGTTGGATTGTTTAACTTCCTGGTGTTGAGTCATAATAGCTCTTTACATATTTTGGACATTAAACCCCTGTCCAATGTATCATTGGCAAATATGTTCTCCCATACAGTGGTTCCCTTTTGATACGATAATGGTTTCTTTAACCATGCAGAAGATTTTTTATTTGATGTAACCCCATTTATTTATTTTTCCCTTTATTTCCCTTGCAAAAAAATTGAAACTAGACCACTGATTTACACCATACACCAGAATAAATTCAAAATGGATAAAAGACCTAAATATAAGTCATGACACCATAAAAGTCTTAGAGGATAACAGGCAGTAAAATTTCAGATATCTTATGTAGCAATACTTTTGCTCATATATCTCTTGGAAGTGGATTCTTTTAAAAATGTTTTATAAAAAATTACAAACTAATAAAACTTATCCCAAAATAAAGAGAAAATCAATACAGACAACTTAACAAAGACAGGGAATATTGTCAAAAGGATATCCACCAAGCAATAATAGTCCCAGATATCATAGTCTTTAAGGTAGTCTACAAATTTGATAAAGGACCAGCAATTCCAATTTTATTTGAACTTTTCCAGGGCAAAGAAAAAGGGGCAAAGAAATCTCCAATGCCATTTTATATATTAAACATGACACTGATGAAAAAGAACTACAGAAAAGGGCAAAAAGGTGAAAACTGTAAACCAATCTCACAAATTGGATGAAATTTTATGTTAAATAAAACATACACTAACCAAAACAAGTAACATTAAAAAACCCAAATGGAATGTGTTCATTAAATGTCAAAATTGTTCAATATCTGTGCAGCTATCAATGGAATTCACCATGTTAAAAAATAAAAAATTACATGAGCAACTCTAGAAATGATGAAAAGATATTCAATAAAATTAAACATCCATTCTTAATAAAGAATAGAAATAAAATTCATAAATATTTTATTAGCTTGACAGGTATATATTTATCTTAACCCTAAATTCTGTATAATGCATAGTGGAGGAAATGCTAGAAAAATTATATTTTAATTATTAATAACATAGATTTGCATTACTAGTATTATTTAGCACAAATATGGTGGTATCAGCCAACACAATTATATAAAGGGAAAAAATAAGAGATGTTAAATTAGAAAAAGTGAATAAACTTATCATAATATCTTTATCACATATACATTATTTGTTTATATTGTATATTTGCACATGCACATACGTTAACCAAAATATTATAAAAACCACAATTTCAGTAAGGTCTCTAAATATTGCCAAGGTATTTAATAAGAACACATCGATATAAAGTCTGTTGTTTACATTTGGTTTTGTATAATCAGGTAAAGGACAAAAGGCCATAGTTGAAATATAAGAAGAGAATAAAAGAGAAAAATTCTCATATCATTTTAAAATATTGCTTAATGTTACATAAAGTTGATGTTCTCTAACAGAGTCTTGATTACACATTTTAAAATCTTAGTTTAAAATAATTAATGAATTAAACATTCATTTTCACAGATGATATTGGTTGATATGTCATATTGCCCTGTCTTCTTAACATAGGAAATAAAAATATATTCATTAACATTAATCTAGATTAGACTATGATTAACTCATTGAGAGTTTGAGTATAGTATAAATTTATATAAAATATATAACATAATCAGCTCAAATATTAAGAAAGTAATACCCATACCATTTTGTATTCAACTGGCCTCAAACTCTATGAAATATTCCTGGGATTTCTTAAGAATGAAAAAAGTAATACCTATATTGGAAAGGTCACTGAATATAAAATTTTGCCATTCTTGTGTCAATGTTAAAAACCATTAGTGATATTTAGAATGATTGTCAGCAACTGGCTAATATCTGATATTAAACTTCGAGATTATTTTATACACATCAAAACACCAGAAAATATTCTCTTCTGTTACTTTAAATGAGAAGGGTTATACAGAAAAAAATTAGAGGTACATTGGTGATACTGGAATTGTGCCTTCTTTTCTAATAACATTGAAAATTAAAATTTTACAACTCAGGCAGGAACTTTCTAGTGACTGAGTATTCGTGTATTATTTTTATACCCATCGAACAAATGTAACAGTTTTCTGATTTCAGCTCCTGAGTAGAAATGGTAAAATGTGGGATAATGGTATAATATGTAATCATACTGTTTCCTTACTCTTAGAACATAAAATTTGAAATTTTCTCATTATACCTGTTACTGTCACCACCAACAAATATATCATAAGGTTGTTTATTTTGAAAAAGATTTTTATATAACACATTTAATAAGAAGGGACACACACTGTAAGTTTTTTAAAAATAATCTGTATTGTTCCCATAATTAGATATTAAATATCTGAATATATATGTTATAAGAATCTCAAATATGTTATCTTTATAACTTTTCGATATATATGTGTATATATATGATCTGTCCAGAAGGTATCCAGCCATGTAATATGAAAAATAGAGTTATTTATTGAAGAAGATACGAGATACAAGAAACATTGTATGTAGGACAATGGTGCTTCTGTCTCCATCAAAGTAGGCACCTTGGGACCTCATACAGTTCTCCCAGTTGCCATCAACTGCCTTGTCACAGTTTCCTGAATCTCATCAACAGCCCAAAATCTCTTCCTTTTCAAAGGTGATTTTAGTTTTGGGAAAAGCCAGAAGTTGCCAGGCACCAAACCTGGGATGTAGTTGGGCCGAGTCACCTGGGTGATTTGATGTTTCACCAAAAAACTCTGTACAAGATGTGACATATGAGTGGGCATGCTGCTGTGATGAAGCTGCCAATCACTGGTTGCCCACAGCTTTGACCTTATGAATCATCAGAATAGTTTCCATGGAGGAATATTCAAGCTTACTGCAAAATTTGATGCAGACTCATTGTTCTACTGGCTCAGTCATTTTGAATGCGATGGCCACACAGTACACATGCTCACTCAATGGTATCTACCACCCCCACTAAATAGTAGACTGAAGTCATCATTGATCATGCATGTACCTTCTAACCAATCCCCTTGGCTGCCAGGTTACATCAATATCATATAAACAATTCTTGTTATCTTAACAATGGCTGGACATTCACCTTAATACCTTATCACTGTGATACAAAGACAACAAATAGAGCTATGATAAGTGTCCAGTGTTTGGTATGGGCATACAATTTTAAGAAAGAAATAACTTCATCAAAATCAAATCATAAAATTGTTATCTTTGCAATTTTTGAAAAAGTGCTTTCAATTTCCCTCCCTCATGATGTGTCCCTGTTTTATCTTTGATCATCTACATTCCTGAATCTTTTTTTATTGTGAAATCTGCACATGCTGATTCAACAATTTATGATTTTCTACCTCAACTTGGACTTTGGTATATCAATTGTTTTAATTCTGTTCAACTCTTCTTTCATATATGCACAGTTATTTTAGAGAATGTAGCACTTTCCTTGGTACCCTACCCCCACTCCATTTATTTTCATCAAAGGATCTTTAATGAAAAAAGAAATCCATTGGTACTTTTGTTTTCATTTTTCTCCTCAGTAATTCTTAAAGTGTGATCAGTCAGCAATGATTTGGCAGGGGGCGGTGGGGGGCGTCACTGAGATACTTTCAAAAGACTGTAAGGTCAAAATTATTTTTATAATAGTAAAAGATAGCCTTTACCTTTCACTATGTTTCTATTTGCAGTGATGGTGGAAGTGCAATGGTGGGTGAAACTCGTGGTAGCTTAGCTCACATCAAGACAGTGGCATCAAACAGCACTACCAATCATTGGACTCTTCACTGCCCTGAACTTGAAGAAAACAAAGTGCTGTTTAACTTAAGAACGTAAAAAAATTTTGATTATATTAAATCTTAACCCTTGATTGTGCATTTTTAATTTATTTTTAATACTTTTTCCGGTAAGTATTTATAATTAGTTAAGCCATGATTTGGTATCCTAGGGTAGGATGTACCCAGCTGCCCCTTCAGTTCCCTAGGAAAAAGGATGGAAGACAGAGGACATGTTGAGTGCAGCCAGCAGGTCTTCACACATGCCTTCTGCCTAGCGGTCATCCCAGGCAGACACCCAGGATATGGTGCAAAAGGACTTGTCCACATGCCCATACCATTTGCTCACAGAGACATCACCCCCTTTAGCAGTCATTGTATTTTCACAATGGTGGAAATCCAGGTAGTTTGGCCAACAGTTCCTGGTCTGGTTCTGATTGGGGAAGTGCCTGTCAAAAAAGGAAGTCTGGTAGGTCTTGATTTTGGTCTTAATGTCTTCTGCCATGTTACCAACTCCTAAAGATGCCACTGAAGCCACTTGCAGCTCAGTGTGACCCTCAGCAAAGACCTGATCACGCATTATTAAAATATCCTGAATGATAATGGCAAATACAATAAATAGAACTCTTCTGCTGCATACAATGTACTTTATTTTTTTTGGATGGGGGAGAAGAACCTGTGTGAGTATTTGGGTTGGGATTTGAATTAAAGACTTTTTTAATGAAATGTCTTCTTTGCTTGAAAGAACAACTAACAAAGTAAGGTTATTTAGATTTGGGCAACTGGCAGAAATTTTCACAAAAATAAAGTGGGAGTTTCACTTCAGGAAAATAACTGAAATTTGTTGCCAGTGAAAAAATGTGAACTATGAAGTGAAAACCAGTTTAGACAACTAGTATCCTCCACTATAGGATGACAGCTTCCCAATACTTAAATGTGTTTTGGTAAATTGTTAACAATATTAGTACATATCTTTTATATTGTATAATAAATCAGTATTTTTTGAATGACCAAAACATAATGTTACAAAATCATAGATGAGTAAAATGATCCATTTTTAGTACACATAGTTTATGAATTTAATATTAAAAGAGTAAGAAAAGCTTATCAATATAGCTTCAGATTCCATACTGCAGCTAACCTTTAGAAAACTACCACTTGATAAGTTTTATGGTAATATTTAAGAAGACCACACACAAGTACCCTAAAAGACTAATAAAATACTCTGTTGTGTGAGACTATTTTCCTTATATAATTTAATTACAATAACATACACATGTTATATTATTGACCACAGAGACTACTATGAGCTAGGTATTTGGTACAATCTTGGAGTACAACATTCAACCAAATTGTTAGGATAGTTGTTCTTTCTGAGCATGCATAATTGTTCCTTGCTGTGTCTCTGGAGCCTTGGACAAATAGCTACCTGATTAATACTGACTTACCTTTATAAATAGTTTTGTTCTCTGACCTCACATGCTCAGAGAATTTTTTCTGACTTCTCTTGCTCTGTTATTTACACTTCCCTTTCAGAAGCATGTATTCCTCACGGTGCTGCTTTTATTCTTTCTGTTCTTTCTGGATACTTGTTCACTTAAATATATTCAACTCTAATCTATATGCTCTTGACTGTTAAATATATATTGCTAATTTTACCAGTATTGTAAAGTTCAAAAACTTCAGGCATGACTTTCTAATTATCTGCTGTATTCATTGGCCCAGAAGTAGTGGAAACCAAAACCAGCATATTTCAAAACAAGATCCGTTCTCTACCTCCACTTCTTCTTCATGTAAAAGACTTTTTTTTTATTAGAAAAACCATATGGGTCAATTAGTCAATTGTATTACTTAATTATATGATGACCATTCTTTTTGCATTAAAACTGAGTAACATAGTCTAATGTGTATGAGCATTGTTTATTTCATTACTGTTCTACTTTTATGTAATGTTTGTTTTTCTGCTTTAATCTTTAGCATTTTTATTTTTAAAACTCTTTATTAAATTTATTGGGTAACTGATTAATTAAATTATAACGGATTCAACTGTACAGTTCTATGATACATCATTTGTATATTGCATTCTGTGTTTACAACCTGATATCAAATCTCCTTCCATCATCATTTATTTTAACATTTTACCCTTTACTATGTCCTCCTCCCTTTGCTTCTGGTAACCACCATATTGTCTGTGTCTATCAATTTTTGTTTATTTGTTTGTCTTATTTGTTCATTTGTTACTTTCAGTTTTATATCATATGATTCTTGACTTTTTCCATCTGTCTTATTTTTCTTAGCATGGTATTATCAAGATCTATGTTGTTGCAAATGCCAGTATTTTGTCTTTTCTTATAGCTGAGTAGTATTTCATTGTATATATGTACCATGTCTTTTTTATTTAATTATCTTTTGAAGGACACTTTGGTTGTTTCCATGTCTTGGCCACTGTGAATAATGCTGCAATAAACATAAGGGTTCATATATTATTACAAATACATGTTTTCAAATTTTTCAGATAGGTACCCAGAAGAAGGGTTATTGGGTCATATGGTAACTCAATTCTTTATTTTTTTAGTTACCTCCCTACTGTTTTCCACAGTATCCAGTACCAGTCTACATTCCCACTAGCAGTAAATGAGGTTTCTTTTACTCCACAATTCTCCAACTTATTATCACCTGTCTTGTTGATAATAATCATTTTTAACAGGTGTGAGGTGGTATCTCACTGAAGTTTTGATTTGAATTTCCCTAATAGCTAGTGAAGTTGAGTATCTTTTTACATATCTTCTCAGGAGAAGTGTCTGTTCAGGTCCTCTGCCCATTATTTAATTGCATTGTTTGTTTTTGTTTTTTTGTTGTTGAGTAGTATGAATTATTTATGTATTTTGGATTTTAACCCCTTGCTGAAGTGACAATAATCAAAACAGCATGATATTGGCAGAAAAACAAACAGCCCAATGGAACAGAATTAAGAGCTCAGAAATCCACATGTGTATGAGCAAATATCTTCAAGATAGCATTTTTATTTTTAAAACACTTTTATTGAGATGAAATTTATATAATAAAAATAAATTGTTTTAAAGCAAATAATTCAGTGACATTTAATACATTAACAATGTTGTGTAACTATCATCTCTGTCTAGTTCAAAATATTTTCCTCACCCCAAAAGGATATCTTATACCTACTAAGCAGCTCCCTCCCATTCTCTCCTCCCCAGCCACTAATCTACTCTTTATCTCTATAAATTTACTTATTTTGGATATTTCATATAAATATAAAATGGATTCTTTAACTCAGCATAATGTTTTTGAGGTTTAGGCGCATTGTAGCATATATAAGTATTTTATATTTTATTTCATTTAGAAAGTAACCCTTCTGATAAAATCCAAGATGCATTATGGAACTTCAGAAACCTCAGTCAGTACGTAGAAGTCATCAGGCTAGCCTCAGGATTTGGAGATAAGGTTATACACTTAGAATAAAAGTAGTTAAAAGTGAGCACAATCCCATACAAAGTGGACAATTTACTATCTTCAGAAATAAGAAAAGCTTTGTGAGTATTATTGTTGGAGACTTGAGTGACAGCAAATCCAGTCAAAAGGATTAGAATGTATCCCAGACTAAGGAAAGATGGAATTCATTTAATCGTGTTGTAATCTTATTTTCAGAAATAATGATGTGGTGAGCATTAGTGGATAATAGAAAAGTAGATAGAATTTGTAACTATTTAGTCAACACAGTCCAGAGGAAAAAGTGAATGTATCTGGTAGACACAGATATTTAATTCACAAGGGAAATCTATTTTGCTGTGAAGCCAAGGTAGTTCATCAGACTTTTCTGTGGACAGAATGAAGTATCACTCAAGACAATCTAATTTTCTTTGCTCTGATTCTATGCTCATCAAGAGACCTTGAGGTTATTTAGAAGTTTTTTACTGATAAGAACTCTCATGGATAATGGACATGAGTATTTCCTTTGAAAATAAACGCACTGGCATTTTAGTATACACAGGCTCTGTTCCACATTAATCAACGTACCATATTACCTGACATGATAATACTCAGTAAATGTGATTTAAATGAACTAGTAAGTAAAAAAAAAAAAAAAAGCATCTATTATATTTTTCTATGCTTAATCTTGGTATGGATAAAACAGGTTGAAGAAAAATATTCTTTTTTAGTCACTTTACAATATTTTCTTTAAGTTATTTCGAAAGTTGGGTTATTGGGATGCTTAATCATGCATTCCATTGCTGAGTAGAAGAAAATATAAATGAATCAACAATATGCCTAGAATAATTAAAAGAAAGGAATAAATTGATTGTCAAAATTAAAATTATTACTACAAATTTCAATGTAGTAAATACCCAGTAGAAATCAAGATGATTTTTTTACTGAATATTATTATTCAGAGCTTTGGTACACAGAGAATTGCTCAACAGACATTCTGGTTCCCTGAGAATGACTCAGACTCTCAAATATACAAGGACTCTCAAGGTTCCACTCTAGAAAATACTTTCCACTTGGAGAAATTGCTGATATAATTAACTCTGGAAAGTATGAGATCCCCATGGGCTTCCTTTTTGGTAAGATATCTTAAGGATAATTGCAACAGCCATTTTTAATAAGATAGAGTTAGATTGGTGATTAGTTTGTTTTTTTCAAGGTTACATTTTTGTAATATTTTATTTGAAGACCTTTCTGTTGTATTATAACAATGTTGCAACTTGCTCAAAATTCAGGTTTTGTTCTCTAAAGATCTCAAGCTGTCAGTATATTATTTCTATTATTAAATATTCCTATTGTGGTGAATTAAATCCAAATGAATATATATTTATTGAAAGTCTTTTTTTCTCTTTTGTAGTGATTTTTCATAAAGAACAGTATTATATCAAGAGGTTGTGATATTTTTATGACCATATTGCCTGGTGAGGGTTATGAAATGGGGTTATGAAAATGCAGAATCATTTTCTGTGGTGCCTTAGTCAGTTCCGATGAATGCTGCTTGCAGTGGATCCAAAAGGATTGTCTGGCATAGGGAGTGGAAAAATGGTCAAGCACAGCATTTCTACCTCTGCAAATTACTTGACTGCATCCCCCAAATTCCTTATCCCAAAACGCAACTTTACAAAAGATTGGCAACTATATCTCGATTCATTCTCATCCTTCATTTTTGAACAGATAATCTTATATTCTGTGGACATCTATAGCTTCAAGGAGCACTTTCCTCAAAGAAGGTTAAAAATATCTCATCATTATTACAAAAAGGATTAGGTTAGACTTGCCCAAAACTAAGAAGTGTTTTTTTAGTACCTATGTTAATGTAAGAAGAAATTTTTTTCAAAATTGTAAAAGTTTTAGGATACCTGTGTACTTTCCTAAAAGAAACTTTCTTTTTATCAAAGATTCCTAAATGATATATGTAACCTCTCACTGAATTTAGTTGGTTATTTGTGGTGGGTATAATTGGATGTATCATTCCTGTGTTCACCTACTGGAATCAAG